CAAATTGTTTAGATTAAATACAACTCGCCTATTTGACCCTCTAAGCTTAAAAGATGACATTTCAATCAAATGAATTTAAAAAACATAAGCTTTAGGGATTTCACCCAAAATCATGACGGATAAAAAGATCCATATATAAAAGTAGTCAAGACATGCGTAATGACGTGTAGCTGTATGGTTGGGGGGGCAAAGTCACAAAGAAAGAGCACAAACAAAACATAGCTTCTGGTATTAAAAAAGCGTCTTAATTTGCTTGGCTCAACAATTGGTGATTGGAGGGGTCCCCCCACACCACCTATTAAAGCAGTTTGGCATACGTAGCCTTCAGAATCTTTCCAAAATAAACGACATGTGTGGTGTGGTCATTCTTGCAAAACATATCGATTTGTTATCCACACTAACCTTATACTAATTGTATATCCATTTGTATTAATTTCTGCTTGCTATCATTTTTCTTTTTACTTTCTAGCAAATGTGATGCATGAATAGTACTTGCCATGTCCCAGCCCAAGTTCATGAAACATACTGTCCACTTTGATCCAATTGGTCTTACAGATTTGTCCTTCGAGCTAATGTTATTATCGAGATCAAAGGTGCGTGTACCATATGAACAGTCCATTTTATATATTTTATATATTTTTTCCGGTCCATTTTAAGTAATTTTTTTACCTTTTTTTGTGGTCCATAATATTTGATTTTTTCAGATATCAAGAAAGAATTAACTTCTTCTTTTCAAAATTACCCTTGGAGTAAAGAGCCTATGAGTATTTCTTATATTTTCAATGAGCAAATTGAAGTTAATATGGTCAATTTCATTATTAATTAATGCTAAAAGGTAAATTCCTTAATATGTGTGAAAAGAGCCAAAAAAATTATTTAAAGTGGACCGAAGGGAATAGTACTTTACTTTTCTCTTTTTCCTTCTAATGGTGGATTTGCCTAAGGCGTCATACATATTGTTAGGGGTGGGCGTTCGGGCAGTTGGATTGAATATTAGAAGTTCGGTTTGGATTTTCGATTTCCATATTGAAGAAATAACAATCCAAAATCAATCCAAATAAGCTCGGATTGGATCGGATTTTCTAAGTTCGGATTTGGATTAATTGGTTTGGATATTTCGGATTTTCAGTTTTGCGCCTATAAGTTGAGATGTTTCTTCTTCTTCTTATAAAAATGAACAACCAAATGATGTATTCATGTTAAACTGCTTCAAAAGTTCCTCATTCTCACCGCAATCATTCAAATAAAGTATTCAAGTAATGAAATAATCATTAAAAATGCAATATATACGTTGATAAAGCCGATAAGAATTAGCAATAGTAAAATCATGTCCAAATAGAAAGTATTCTTACAATAACTTAGTAGTTAATATTGAATACATGAGATAATTTCTAATGGGTAGGGTATTGAAGTTATTATTATTTGCACTTGGATAATGAATTAAATATAAATTATAAAAAAATTGAATTTTTGGATATCCAAAATTCGAAGTAGCAAATCCAACATCCAATACGAAATTCAAAAATTTTAAAAATAAATTCGAAATCAAATCCATAATCTGAAAATCCAGACCAAAAAAACAAAAAGATCGGATTTCGGATTTGCCCAAACTATGTCCCCACACCTGCAGGTTGCATTTCTTTATTCCTTAAATTTCCGTAGCTTTCTGGCGTTGATATAATTTTTCTTGCAAAAAGGATTATAGTTGCTTTGAAGTTGTGTCTGCTCTTTGCTGGATCGCTCTTCCATAACAGCGTGGATTATCTTTACATAAGATGATGGATTGCACACTTTACAACTTATATAGAGCCACCTACATTATTTAATTGCACAAGTTGGGGAAAGCTCTAAAGGGAGGTTTAAATATATTTATTATGTAATTTTGTTATTCGAGAAGAAAATTCATACAAAACTGATCACGAAAGAAGGATTGTTACTATACTCTCAAGTAACTTACACAACTCTTTTTAACCAAACACGGACAAAATTCTTAACAAATGTATATTTTTAGCTGTTTCCAACAATAATAGCCGACAAATTCAATATTTTTTTGTATGTATGTATATTATATACAAAAAAATATACATATTTTATTTATTTTTTGGTTAGAAATGCTAGTATTACTTTTGGCCGAGTGGTCAATTTTGTATTTTGCCCAAATTTCTTCTTTTCTTTCTTACAAAATGGGAAAAACTATTCAAAAACTACTTTTAACTAGCTTTTATAGTTTTCATTTTTTTTTAGAAACTTCAAAGTTTTCTTTTTGGCGTTTGTTCTTACAAAAAAGTCGGAAAAAATCTTGATTTAAAACTTTTTTCTAATTCTAAAGATTTGAACTCAAGTTTTTGATGACATTTTAACCTTATATTATCAGCATAGGAGGATATCGTTGGCTATGTCACAACCATATTTCAATCATTGAATTAATATGGAATTTATCAGCCGACAACGGGTCGGGTAGATCTTTCTGTTGGGCCCCGGTTGTCAGCTCATACATGAGTCCCCTAGCTGTGGATATTAGTATTAACTATTTCCCTAACCCCTAGGTATCTTTGCGATGGATTCTCCAAAATTAAATTAAACAGATAAAAAAAAAGGTTATGCTCCCCACCATGTTTAAGCAACCACATGAACAGAATAAAAGGATAAAGACCCTTCTTAGTGAAGACATTAATTGTTCAAGAATCAAGCATTTGTAAAGGAAATATACGGAGTATTTAAGTAAAAAAAATGATAATTAAGAAATTCAAATTGATTTTATAGGAAAATGGTTCTTCAAAAGATTGATAGTTCGAGATTTGTGCATATTAGACTTTGATATTTAGCAATTCAAATTTAGCACAATAACATAGGCGAGCTATAATTTTATCTGCATCTTTCAATTTACTGTTATATATCAGCTTATAACCATCTAATCATGAGTGGATGTAGAGTAATTGATCCAATAATTCTGGCTCAAATCTTGTACTATGTGTTCAAATATTTATTAAATATGTATAATTGTCAAATTTCACCAAATAACTCAAATAGTCAATATGTTCAATGGCATTTCAAACCTATATAATTTAAATTTTGGATCCACCTCATATTAATATTAATGAAAAATTGGCCCGCGAATAAAGGTCATCAAAGTGACGATGCTGAAATGTTAGAAACTTTGAAATTGTGGGTTCTAGTCTAATCTAATGTACATAATTTTACCTTTAGTAACTTCTGATTATTTATTTAATAATCAAGGCAAGAAAAATAAATTGAAAATCAAGCTAAAAAAACAGAAAAAATGAATTAAGTAAGACGCAAAACTATAGTCATGGACTCATGGTAATGAAAGACTTTCTAATTACACAGTCCAAATAAAATCCAAACAAAATATAAGGAAAGAACTTAATTGTCACTTAACAAAAGTAGTGCTATTTACTTTTTCTTACAATATCCATTTCTCTTTCCCCTTAATGTGAGTGTTCAAAAAAGCAAAATAGTACTTTGATAATCATTTACACAATTACACCTATAAGAATGTATCTACCATTTCTCAGAAATTAAGAGATTAATGGCCACTTTCAACACCTTTAAGGGTCTAATCAATAATCATCTCATCTACTTAAATAATTTGGAAACCACTTTTAACTTTGAAAAATGGTGCTAGTTGATTTGGAAAGAAAGGATTCAGTGTTGGTAGATCTTTGATAATAAGTGTTGGTTAGTTTAGCATATTCCCTTTTGAGTAAGCTATACTTTTAACCTGCACTATACTACTACTAATTAGTGGATCTTTATGTCCTTTAAAACTTGAACTACAGTTATGCAAAGAATGGCACCAAATATAGATGAAACCAGATCTTCACGCTTTTGTCATTAAATGCAAAGATTTACATCTTTCAATTGACTTGCTCCCGTTTTTTTTCAAAAATCTAGTTGTTTATACATTTTGAAAACAAAATCTTCAAGTCCCAAAATCAACTCTAAAGTAGTTTTTTCTACTCACAAAACTTCAAATTCTTTTAAAGTAAAATGTATGTCCAAACATAATTTTAACTTTTAAAGTGGCTTTAACTCTCATCTCATCTTCAAATTTTCATTTTTTTCAAATTTCAACCAAATTTATGTGCAGTTCCAAGCTAAGTTCCAGGCTTCCAGCTATTGAAAGCAAAGATTGTAATGACTACTAAGTAGTATAATTGTTTGTCTCCCCGCTTCCAATTAAATAATTCCACTTGACTTATAGAGAGAGGGGACAATTGAAATTTCAACAATTTACCAAACTATTCTCAGACAAAAACATGTTAGAAATTTTTCAACGGCAAAACTACAAGCAGATACCAGCATTTTCATCTATTTTATGTAGGAAAATTTTTCAAACAAAAAGAAGAGTTAGTTAAAGTAATCACAGATAATTGAGAACAAAAAAAAAGAATTTGAACAAAAGAAGTATTCAAAGCATTCAAGGCCTCCCACCACAATCATCTAAATACAAGTCTTAGCTCCCATATAATAACATACACATCAAGATTGTGCCATCTTCAAGATGGAGATGCATAATTACAGTAGTGCAAAGAAATCGGATCATACTCCACTATACGGGTAGTTGATCAAAGACATCAAAACAAGAAGACCAAAAGTAGAAAGGTAGAGGCACCAGTAAGAGTATCTGCTAGTCGACGTGCAATAGAACACAATATGCAACAATAGTTGAGTGGAACTCATGAGATGGCAGAGTAACTATAATCATCCTCAGTAGGAGCCTGAGAAAGAATGGTCAGAAACACAAAGACCCCATATAGAACTGTAGCAATGGCAGTAAAGTTGACTAGGAAAGCCTCGGAACCATATTTAGCCAAACCGTTAACCTCAAGGAATGTAAGCTTCTCAAGGAGTCCTAGACAGGCATTACCAACAGCCATGACATACACAAACATCCCAAAAAGCACATGCCAGGGAAGTGAATCACGCCTAACTTCAGCACTACCCCCAGGGTAGAAGAACACCACAAAGCCATAAATCCACTGCAATTATGTCATCAAGTGATGAGAAACAGCTCCTCATCAGCATATTTCTAGTTATACAGATAAATATTGGATTAAGCTAGGAGCTACACTATATGATCAGCGTACGTGTTTTCTGCTAATATTTAGACGTTTTGAAGAATCCGCTAAAAGTGACAGACCATACCTATGTACACCTTACATTGGGTACATCAAGGCAGATAAAGGATTAATAACATAGACCAGGAGATTCAAGCAAGAACGAATGGACATATTGCGATCAGTCCACTTGCAATGAAAGGGCCTTAAACGGGGGCTCTCCCACAAAGTTTTCATGGTTGACATCTAAGTAGTGTATTGCCTCATTGTAAACGGCTATCATTTACTTATGTATAGTGAAGAATAAAGATCACGAAATGCAAAATAAACAAGAAATATTATGAAAATGTCCTAAAAAGAAGTCAAACTCTGTTTGGATCAGAGAACACATGTAAGAACCTACTGGAACGTCATCTCATGACAATTTACAAGCCTCAAACTACTCCTGCACTATTAAATTAGATAAGAGGATTAAAATGGAGCATGGTCTCAGGTATTTGCTAGAGAATCTGATCGGACAAAAAATAACAAGGAGATGAAAACATATGTAGTCATATTACCAGGTATATGGAGTACTCAATATGGGATGTTTACCTGAATGCCATAAAGAACAATAACACCGATCCCGACCCAGGAATGTAAACTGTACAGGTTGGGGATGTTGCTTTCGTTGTGATTTTTGAATGCAGCGCAGATTCCAACTATACCAAGTACGAGCGCAATAGCATGTAAAATTAGATGGATTACTTTCTTCACCTGCTTCTTCAGGGGGAAAGATTTGTAACTCATGATGGCTGCACATTTTGGATTAATAAAACATTAATCGTCAAATGGAATTATTCAAGAAGAAACAGGATAAAACTAATAAAAAAGGCAAATAAAAAAAAGATATTTATAAACATCTCAATCACCTTCTCCCCCAAGAATAATGAAGCCAATAAGCATCAGTACAGGGTGAATCTGGAAACCAAAAAACAATGAGAAAAGATGAAAATACCATAACAGGAAAAATGATGTTATAAGCATCAGTATCAGTACCGCTTAAAGTAGGGAAAACTATCATGTACTTAGCTAAAAGAATCTGGAAGTGATGGTTGAGTTTTTACCAGCTGAATCCATAACAAGAAAAAATCTTCCTCTAGTTTTCTCTTTATAAGTAAATTCAATAGCATTATCCTTAATTTTCATAATTTGACTCAAATTTCATCTAGCAACATTGTACAACTACAAATTATCCATCATTAGTGTAGGAGGGCTGCAGGTCACATAGTACTTGTTCTCTTGTATTCTAACTTCTACAGTCATAAGGTTCCCCCAAGAGCATTTAGGTACGCATAACACTGAATTAATAAATTCAATGACTTTCCTATATTTTGGATCAATGTTAATGATTTGTAAAATAATCAAATTTTGATCACCGGCTGCCTAAACATTAGTATTAGAAAGAGAAATGTAGGGATCACTACTTCTATGGTGTTGTTGGACAACTAACTGCGTCAAGATTAACAGACTCCTGATTTGTACATTCCAATGTTTCATATTTTAGAGGCACATACCTACCCATAAAGAGTTAAGGTAGGTAGTGAAATGATCGAAAGCATGGATGTCAACTTCAAAATATACATATAACAAAAAGAACACACCGAAAAAGGGAGAAATATCACCATATAATTCATCCTTCTCCTAAACCAACCCAACAGGGCAAACACCACTAAAAACTTCTGCTTGCACTACGCATAACATCCAACACTGAAGATTTCTCTCAAATTAAACACTGAAGATTTCTCTCAAATTAAACCCTGGAATTTCTATTTTGTAACGACGGCAATTGCTTAAAAGGAAGAAACTAATCAGATTCAGTTGCGAACAGCCTGTTAAAATTTAAAACCAGGAGGAACCACTTTACATCAAAAAAGAACCAGAAGAAAAACATGTCTCCTCGTCTCAAATAGAGTTGACTAGTATTACAAAACTTATTGCAGCTGAACATATCATGATCCACACTACAAAAGGTTATTATCACTTTACAAATCAAATCTTCTAATCTTCATTAATTAAATACATAGAATGACACCAACAACAAAAAAAAAAACTATACAGAATTGACAGACAACAAGATTCCATATTTCCATGTCAAATAAAGGGGGCAGAGATAAACTTGAAAATAAAGAAGGCAAAGATGAAGGGCGTACATTAAAAATGAGATTTTTGTTATCAGCTTCCCAAGCTAAGCCACCCCTAAAGTGAATAGACCAAACCAACACCATAATAGCCGCAACTACGGCCAGAAAGTGTGCCCCAAATGAGAAAGGCAGTGCCTTTAACCCTGTTGCCATCTCCCTTCCTACTCTCTGATTTTCTTCCTCTTCTGTGTTACTATGCTAAAACGTGGAACCACACATAAACGGAGAAATTTGTGGAGTATTATCCTATTACTCTGAAGTCGCTATTGGCATTTGATTTCTGGGAAATTCTCTGGGTTATTTTAACTGTAAATTTTACAGGTGATAATCTTTAAGCCGTCGGATGATGAGGATCTGTCCATCATACGTGGGTCTTTGACAATTGTCCAAATTGGATAGGTTCAGACAGCAACACACGTGTTTCGTCGTGTTTCGGGATTCGTGTTTACCTCTGCGTTTGTCGCTTTTTAGTTTTTACCTCCCCTGAATTCACACGTGAGAGATTATCTTAAGTAAGTCCAAAACAAGAGGCCAAGTATGGTAAAATCGATTTCGATCCACATTCCAAAATTAGGTACGATATATGTAGAAGAAAGGAACACGTTGGGGTAGGTGGACCGTGGGAACTCGAAAGGAGGAAACTGAAGATTGTTATTACTCCGTTATATACACAACTTTACTTTAATCCAGAAACATATCCAAAATTTCATTCTATGGGTCAATTTTTAAGATTTTAGCCTTAAACCCATTAAATTATCAAAATTACGGTTTTATCTCTACTATTTTGTAATTTTAACGATTTTTTACATATAATTTTATACTTTGCATCGAAAATTATAAGTTCAATTGAACCCGTCATTTACACATTACATCCGCTCGTGCTTAAATCTCATATTATCCTTTGGAAGAGGCATTATCAGTCTTAGGAGTAGGGTGTACAAACCGAACCGGAAAACTGCATAACTGAAAAGTCAAACCAAACCGATTAAAAACTCCGACTAGGTTTGCTTTAATTTAGTTTGGTATTGAGTAAAAAAACCCGAAGCAAACCAACATATAAATATATAATTTTTATATATACTTTTAAGATTTTATATAGAATTTTCTTTAAAAAATGTCTAAAAATATTTGGGATTATCTTGCGGGATATAATATTTAACAATATATGAAGTGCTCCATATTTATTAACCTTAAATAATGGGTTGTATGATCACTTTCTCACCAAGTGTTGCTGAAATGCGTCAATCTTTTTGTTCTTCCATATTCGTATCATATATTAAGATCTACTAAATTGTTATATCTTTGTCGAATGTAAAGTTGATTATTATTATTATTTAGGTATCATATTGATTTTTATGTTTAATTACTAAATTCGGTTAACCTTGAAAGTGTACATCAATGAAACATTATTGTTAGACGACTAAAAATATAACTATTATGTGTTACTAAGAAAATTCTCTCATAAGAATATTTTAATAGATAATATGTTTGTCAAATTTTTATATTTTTACTAAACATATATTTATTACTTATAAAAAAATTAATAAAGTAAGATTGAAATAATATTTAAGTAACAAAAAAAAATCCCGAAAACCCCGAAAAATCCGACAAAACCGAACCAATCCAAATCGATATAGTTGGTTTGGTTTGATTTTGATAAAAACTGAACCAACCAGGTCCACGTACACCCGTCTTTAATATAGATTGGGGGTAAAGATGACTCCATACTTGAGGGTAGATTCGAGATCTTTAGCTAAGTATACAAGACAATTTACCATTTCATCATAATTTTGAAACAATTAAATGTCAATTTAAGTTTAACAAAGGCGAATAATATAATGAATTTACATGAGATGATAATTATGCACTTGCATAAGTCAAATGATAACTTTGCATCCATATGCTTTAGAACTTAATTATCTTTAATGATTAAAATGAAACAGAAGAGGAATTTTTATACAAACAGCATTAATATGTTCACACAATTTTATGGCTAAAATTATTATAAATTTTCAAAAAATCTCTATAAACTTCTGTTTTAGGTTTTGAAACATTTGAAAAATTAACCTTACAAATTTAGCAACATCCAGATTTTTATACAAAAATTTAAAAATCGAATTTGCAAACTTAACAAGTTCCAAAACTTAAACAAGCGCCTGATAATGGCACCTAACGATGATAAAGTTATTTATTTCGAAAATACAAAGAAAGATGAAGAACTATACTGGAGTTATGTAGCCGTTGAAGTAATCAATGATATCAATAGGATTAGATGGACCCTACACTAATGTATTCCTGGACCAACCTGGTTCCATCAATCACGACTACTCCATTTCTATTTGCATCTAATCCTTCATACGGGCCCTACTAATCATACGGTATTGGCTGAGCAGAAGATATCAATGACAGGCTTTGAGGTATTGAGGAAGCAGAAAATGATGCCCCATGGATCTTTTGTAAAACATGGTTTGTATTTTGACCCATGTTGTTGTCTGAATGCTTATCTTTAAGAATCAATCAACCAAAGAAACAATCAGCAAGTTAAATCAAAATTACAACGAACATATGAAAAGTCTTTACATTATTGAGAATATGTATAAATTCTAAAACTTTAATCTTGTTTTCATCATTGTGAAAAATATAGAAGGATGAGTTCTTTTGTGGAAGAAAAGGGGGGATAGGGTAGGGATGCCACGTTACATCACGCACTTACAGATCACAATTGCAAGGATGCAGAAACCAACAATGGTATATATAGACTAAGAAGTCAACAGTGTGATAGTCTTAACAAATAACGTCTTTGTTCGGTCTTGGGGGCACATCTGGAAAAACTCAAATCAGTTCAGATGAGAGTCTGAAGTTCGAATATTATATATCAACCGCAAAGGTAAAAGCAGGTGCCAGCCTTTTCATCCATTTTATGTAGGAAAATATTTCAAACAAAAGAGAAGTTAGTTAAAGTAATCCAGACAATTGAGCAAAAAGAAGTTAAAAGAACAAGTATTCAAAGTATTCAAGCCCTCCAACGACAATCCTTTAAATACAAATCTTAGCTCCCATATAATAACATACACATCAAGATTGTGCCATCGTCAAGATGGAGCTGCATGATTACAGTAGAGCAAGGAAATCGGATCATACTCCACTATACAGGTAGATAATCAAAGATATCAAAACAAGAAGCGCAAAGTAGAAAGGTAGAGGCACCAATAAGAGTATCTGCTAGTCAACGTGCAATAGAACACAATATGCAACAATAGTTGAGTGGAAATAATGTGATGGCAGAGTAACTAAAACCATCCTCATTAGGAGCCTGAGAAAGAATGGTCAGAAACACAAAGACCCCATAAAAAACTGTAGCAATGGCAGTAAAGTTGACTAGGAAAGCCTCAGAACCATATTTAGCCAAACCGTTAACCTCAAGGAATCCTAGACAGGCATTGCCAACAGCCATAACATACACAAACATCCCGAAAAGCACATGCCGCGGAAGTGACTCACGTCTAACTGCATCACTTCCCCCAGGGTAGAAGAACACCACAAAGCCATAAATCCACTGCAAATTATGTCATCAAGTAATGAGAAAAAGCTCCTGATCAGCATATTTCTAATTACATGGACTCATCATAGGTACATATTCAATATGTATGTTTTCAAGTATCCAGTACAAATACGTAAATTTTCTGCTAACTTTAGATGTTTTGAAAAATCCGCTAGCTTTTTTTTTCAATTCTTTTTTCTTTTCATTATGGTAATGCAATGCAAGAGGTCGGAAATCCGGTTGTTTCTGATATGAAAAGAGCTTTTATCTTATGTAAAATTTATGAAAATCCGAAATGAAGTGACCATACATATATACACCCGTTCAACATCATTGGCAGACCCAGAATTTTTATCAAGCGGATTCAAAATACAAAAAAGTAAATATAGAAAAACGTCAACAAAACAAATTATTAAAATGATGTAGTTTTCTTTCCCTAAATTGTATATACATGGCAAAGCTTTCGTAGTCTAAAAAAGAGAACTTTTATGTCTGTTGGAAAAAGTGTTGTATATAGGGGGAAAAAACACCATATGTAGCTGACTGGGTTCAAATTATATAACAGCAAGGAATCTCAAAGGCATGTATGGCTAGAATTAGTCAAGGGAAAGAGGAGAGAGAAGCTCTGACTTGGGAAATGTGCAATTTTACTTTTCTCTTTCCGATGGCCATCTCCGACCCCTTTTCCAGTTGACTTTTTCTTCTCTTTATTATGGATAAAAAGATTTCCTTCCCAGCAGAAGGGAAATCTTTCCTCCTACCCCTTTTCCAGTTGACTTTTTCTTCTCTTTATTATGGATAAGAAGATTTCCTTCCCAGTTGGAGGGAAATCTTTCGATCTAATAATCACTAACTTGAATTTCAACAGATGGTTCTTATTAGTAGAAACAGCAAACGCTTCACAAACAGCCTAAAAGATCGACGAGGATAATCTCAGATAGGCCTGCGAACAGCTTCAACAAGCTTCAATGGATACAGGTGATTTATGCAGACGTTGGGGGCGAAAGATTCAAGCTTACACCTATCGAGTATATCATAACTTCAACCGTTATGGTCGTTTTGTAAGGATTGAAGCATGCCTAGGGGATAAGAAATCATGAGTGATAATTCCAGAAGAGGGGTATAATACTGGATGGAGAGATATTGCAGGTAAAATTCTGCAATTTCTGGGTAATCATCGCATCACCATACATCGTCGCACTAAGCCAGAAGTATCATACTTTGAAGCTGCTAGCAAGGAAGAATGGACAGAACAAGGTTCAAGAGGGAAAGCTGTGGCGGAGGATAATATGGTCAAAATCATACCAAATGCAAGCAACAACACTCAATTTTTTTTGTCTATGGTCCTGATTGCTACTCTCAACGACCCATTCAGTCCTTCACCATCACTAGAGGTGTTACGAAACTAGTTTGTTAAGAAATGGCAAGTCACAGCAGGAATCAGTGTAACAAGTCTAACCCACAATCAATTTCTTTTTCGACCGCCATCACATCAGGAAGCCGAGAGAGTTAAAGCTGGGGAGTGGTTTTGGAATGGAAGAAAGTTATCACTTAAATGGTGGTCGCCGGTGACTGGGTCTAACATGGCAAAGTCACGCTCAGATCAAACATGGGTTATAGCCCGTTTGGCCATGCTTCAAAAATCAGCTTATTTTGAGAAGTGTTTTTTTCAAAAGTACCTTTTAAAAAAAGTGCTTTTGGTGAGAAGTAGTTTGTGTTTGGCTAATTAATTTGAAAAACACTTTTGAGCAGTAATTAGTGTTTGGCCAAGCTTTTGAAAACTGCTTCTAAGTGGATTTTTCTCAAAAGTGCTTCTCAGAAAAGTGCTTTTGGAGAGAAGCTACTTTTTTCTGCTTCTCCTCAAAAGCACTTTTTTTCCTTCCAAAAGTTTGGCCGAACACCTCAAATTTTTGCCAAAAGTGCTTTTGGCCAAAAAAAGCACTTTTGGCCCAAAAAAAGCTTGGCCAAACAGGATATTAGAGCCGTGGGTATTCCATTACATGTCTGGTCAGAAAGCATATTTCCGGTCTATCGGGGAATAATGTGGAGGCTTTATCGGAATTGACATGGATACACAATCAAGAACCAATTTGATATGGGCTCGGATCTGCGTGAAAGAATCGCTGGCAGAGATTCCAAGCAAGGTGGAGGTAGAAATGGGTGATTGGAGATATGAAATAGCAATTACGTACGAATCGCCGGAAAGAAAGTCGCCGTTTCTTTGAAGGGGATGGGTTAGGGAAAGGACACCTCGAACCCCACCAAACCTATTGTCAAGTCTATTGACAAGCATGTGGAGGATCATGTGGGGGTCAGACCTAGTAGGGATCCAAATTCGATGGACAGCTTTTGCAAAGAACCGATGCCGGTTCAATTTTCATTTAAGCTGGATGATGCTGGGCCTTCGGGTACGAAAAGTTTGGATCAGGCATACTATTCTAAAAGCACGAAACACAGGGGAAAAGGAAAGGAGAAATTTATTTATAAAAGGCCCAAATAAATCTGGAAATATAAAGGCCCAATTACTACTACACCAATTCATAGCCAACCTATTATATTACCCACTCTTCATATCAAATCCTCGTCATATTCTCACCTCCCAAAAGATACAGAACAACACCTGGAAGCGGATGATGATCTAGAGGAAAGGAACTACCCTCTTCTTCTACCTGGGCCAACTATGGGGATCACTTCACCATTGGTAAGTGACACTGATTCTGCTCATTCTTCTCTCTCTTTCAACGACTGTCCATCTCTCCCATGGTACGACTCTGTAGACCAGAGAATTCAGAATCCTTTTATAATTGAAGCATCCAAGTGGACCAAATTGGTGATGGGGAAAGCATGCAAGGTGTTTGGAATCTATGTAAAGGGTTTTGATCATGAAATCTTCGACATGAATATGAGAATGGAATAAAAAAGACAACAACTGGTAATCAATAAAGCAAGACATAGGGACAAGAAAACAAAGAAGACGAAGGGAGAAACTGAAGTCAAGAGGTTGATCTGCTCCGTGAATTATGATGGGGTTGAAAAGAAGAACAGGGGTAGGAAATACCAATCATTTTCTGGATGAAAGTTAAAATTTTAAGCTGGAAAATAAGGAGGTTGAATAGCAATGGGAAGAGGGACACTCTCAAATCACGAATCAGTAAGTGGAAGCCAGATGTTCTCTCTCTTCAAGAAACTAAATTAGAAGAGTGGAACATATTCTTAACAGGCAGATTTGGGAAAACAGATGGGTTGAGCTCAAAGCTAGTGGTACTAGGGGTGGGATCATCATCATGTGGGATAAAAGACTGTGGAATTGCACTCAAATACAGCAAGGGATTTACTCTATCTCTTGTATGTTGGAAAGTCTAAATGAGGTCTTCAGTTGGTGCTTTAGTTGGTGCTTTAGTTGGGTCTATGGGCCACACACTAACATTGAAAGGGAAGAGTTGTGGAATAAACTTAGAGCTATAAGAGGGATTTGGCCTGATCAGTAGGTGATAAGGGGTGACTTTAATGTATGCAGATTCAAAAATGAGAGACTCAATTGTGTGAGAAGATCCAGGGCCATGCGAAATTTTTCAAATGTAATTCAGGATTTTTGCTTAGTGGATCTTCCTATGCAGGGGGGCTTCTTACACATGGACTAGAGGGGAGGACACTATTCAAGCATCTAGAATAGATAGATTTTTTATCTCAAATGCATGGAATGATTCCTTTAGCAAAATCAACAAGATTGCTCTCCCTAATGTCATCTCTGATCACATTCCACTCATGCTAGAATATGGTGATTGAACACTAACCCTTCTTACTTTAAATTCGAGAACATGTGGTTGGGGATGGAGGGCTTCATGGATAAAGTCAAGGCATGGTGGCAGAGCTATAAAGTCAATAGCAATCCCGACTTCATTCTTACACAAAAACTCAAGCTACTCAAAAAAGATCTTACCATCTGGGATAAGGAGGAATTGGGATTGATAGGACTTAAGACAAGAAAAGCACTAGAAGACCTTCTCATATTACAACAGAACACTGAAGGTAGAACACAAAGTCAAGAAGAGAAAGAGAAGATCATAAGCCTAAAAATGGAAGTGGAACAAATGGCCAAAGCAGAAGAAGTTTCATAGAAGCAAAAAATCAAGATGCACGTGGCTCAAAGAAGGCGACAGGAACACAGTTTTTTCAAAAAATGGCTAATTCCAACAAAAGATCAAATGGAATTGATAGGCTCAAAGTAGGGGATGAAATTACAGAAGACACAGATTTCATCAAGGGTGGAACCAATATACTTAGGAAGATGGGGTATTGTGCAGGTTGGATCAAGTGGATCAAGTTTTGTGTAACCACTGTGAAGTATTCAGCTCTTGTCAATGGAAGTCCTGTTGGTTTCTTCTCCCCACATAAATGATAGAGACAAGGGAATCCTCTCAATCCTTTTTGTTCGTTTTGGTAATGGAAGGCCTTAGCAAAATGCTTGACAATGCAAACCAAATACACCGGTTAGAGGGTTTCAAGGTGGAAAGTTCTGTTGGGAGCTCAATTAGTGTCTCTCATCTATTGTATGCAGATGACACACTTATTTTCTGTGGAGCTGATAGGTCGCATGTGCTCTATCTTAACCTCACACTCATGATTTTTGAAGTTATATCTGGCCTCTACATGAACAGATTGAAGAGCACTATTTGCCCCGTAAACACAGTCCCAAATATGGAGGAGCTAGCCGAGCTAATGGGTTGCAATGTGGGATCTTTTCCCACAACATATTTGGGTCTACCACTTGGAGCTAAAGTCACCAGATATTTGGAATGGGGTAGTAGAGAAATTTGAGAAAAGGCTTGAAACTTGGCAAATGCATTTCCTATACCAGCTAGGGTGCAGAAAAGGCTAGACAAAGCTAAAAGAAACTTTCTGTGGGAAGGAAATAGTCAAAACAACAAATTTCATCTAGTGAAATGGCCAACAGTGATTCTGCCAAAGGAGCATGGAGGATTGGGCATAAAGACCTAACATCGCACAACAAGAGCATGCTAATGAAATGGCATTGGAGGTACAACATGGAGAACACTGGGATGTGGAAAGATGTCATCATGGCAAAGTATGGGGTGCTGAGTCAATGGTGCACCAAACAAAGCAGGTTACCACATAGCCCGGTCCCTGGAAGCATATCTCAAGCCTATGGGGTGAATTCCAGCTTAACTGTTCAATAAAGCTAGGGAATGGAGCACATGTATCATTCTGGAAGGACAAGTGGTTAGGGAACCAGACTCTGAAAGAAGACCGCCCAAATTTGTATCTCATAGCTAGCAATCAAAACTCCACAGTGGGTCAAAGATGGCACAACAACTCATGTGACCTACAGACAAGGAGAAACTTAAAACTTACAGGACTGGGAGCTAAATGACTATCCGGAGCTTCAATCTAAGCTAGCCGGGGTCACTATCAAACCTCACGACAGACTATTACGGGCGTAGGTTAGCGTCTCGTCCTGCAAATGATAGCCTTTGAAGGCCGCTAACGAGATGCATTGTATGATAGTAGTTTATGTTAGCTACTTATCCGGTGCCTTCTTTACGACTTTCGACCAAGCCATTATTGAAGAAACTCTTGTTTAGTCAGGACGTCGTTCCCGTCCTTTGTGGTGCTTTTTCAACCCCTTGCTTTGACTTGGTAAATTTCATCTGGATTTGCTCCAGAAAGGTTATGCACATTTGTGCTCAAACAAGGATTTGATTGACAACTGGCCATGGAAACTCATCTAGAGAACTAAACTCCCACCTAAAGTAATTGGCTTCACTTGGATAACCTTATATGAAGCATGTCTCACTCAAGATAATCTACGTCGAAGGAACATCTACATTGTGAATAGGTGCTACATGTGTCAGATGAAGGCAGAGAGTGTGAGGCATCTTTCTATCCATTGTGTAGTTGCAGCAGATTTGTGGAGTATGTTCTTCTCGATTTTTGGACTAGCCTGGGTCATGCCTAATAGTATTAAAGAAGCCTACGAAAGCTAGTGCTCCTGGAGAGTTGGCAAACCTATCAAAAAAACTTGGCTTTTGGTCCCCGCTTCTATTTTCTAGTGTATATGGATTGAAAGGAATAGCAGATGTTTTAATGGGATATCAACTCCAAATCATGCTCTTAAATCTAAATATTTATTTAACCTTTTTACTTGGCTTAATCAGGCAGCTATATCTAGTTGTGATCATTCTTTGGATTGTGTCTGCTCCTTAGTATTAGCATAGGTTTCTTTTGTTATGTTTATGAACAGACACACTCTATTTACTTGTACCCTCTTTTGCTATGCATCTTCTTGATGCCCTTAATGAAATTCTCTTCATAAAAAAAAAATTATATAACAGCATTTTCTCGAAGAAAGGTAAGATATACCTATATACGTAGTGTTATTTTTCGACAAAGCGGGTTCATATGAATCCTTGACCCATGTGGGTCCACCCCTGTTCAACATAGGGTACATCAACACAGATAAAGGTTTATATAGCATAGACCAGGAGATCAAAGCAAGAACAAATGGACATATTGCAAGTCTTGCAACGGAAGGGCCTTAAACGTGGGCTCTCCCACAAAATTTTCAAGGTTGACTTTAAGTGGTGTGTTTTCTCGTCATATACAGCTAGAGTATTATTTTACTTATGTATGGTAAAGATCAAGAAATGCAAAATAAACAGGAAGCATTATGAAAATGTCCTATCAAAAAGCCAAACTCTGTTTGGATCAGAGAACACATGAAAGAAGCCATGTGTGGAACTTCATCTCATGAGAACTACAAGCCTCAAACAATTGTTCCTTCATTTATCAATTAGATAAGAGGATTAAAATGGAGCACTATCTCAGGTATCAAATCTGATCCCACAAAATATAGCAAGGAGATGAAAACATCATATTACCAGGTATATGACTAACTTCTAATTTTAACTTTGGATCATGAACATATCATGATCCAAACTACAAAAGGTTATTATCACTTTGCAAACCAAATCTTCTAATCCACATTAATTAAATACATAGAATGATAAAGATTGCCAAAAAAAGAAGACAAATATACAGAAATTGAAAGACAACAAGATTCCATATATCCATGTCAAATACTATTCCAGAAAAAGGGGGCACAAAAAATCTTGAAAATAAAGAAGGCAGGGATGAAGGGCTTACATTAAAAATGAGATTTTTGTTATCAGCTTCCCAAGCTAAGCCACCCCTAAAGTGAATAGACCAAACCAACACCATAATAGCTGCAACTAAGGCCAGAAAGTGAGCCCCAAATGAGAAAGGCAGTGCCTTCAACCCCGTTGCCATCTCCCTTCCCACTCTCTCATTTGCTTACTATGCTAAAACGTGGAACTACACAGAAACGGAGAAAATGTGAGAGTAATATATTTTTCTGATGTAGCTACTGGCTTCTTCTGGATCTGATTTCTGGGAATTTTTTTTTTTTGAATAACCTCATTCCTCCATAAAAATTAGAATTGTCTTCTAGTTCTACTAGCTGTCGGAGCAGTACACCCTTATGAATGAAAATTAATTTCAGTTTTGGTTCTCCTATAGAAAAAAATAGCATTCAAAATCATATGTCTACAACTTACAAGAGGAACACAAAATTAAAGATAATTGGACAATCTGAGTCAAATCAATGGCCTTGCATATCAAGCGTCTCATCCAAACGTTTGACTCTTTCCAAACCTTCACTAATCAAGAACCGAATTCTCTGCTTGTCATTACAACTCTTGTTATTCTCCATCTCTTGTCTTATAATCTGCCTCAAATCAGCTCTAGCATGAGAAGGCGCTCTATTTGAGATTCTCAAAGCTTGTCTGTACAGCTTCAGTACTCGGCCACGAAGAAGGAAGTCCTCTAATGAGAGAACCATTGAAACTGATTCTCCAATGCAATCAAAGAGTTTCAATAGTATAGCATGATTTCGCCGAGCAAGAGATGGGCAGGAGCGAATTTATTCAGAATTTGATTTCTGGGAATTTCTCAACCCTAGTTTTAACAGGTGATAACCTGTATGTGTGTCCTTTGTTACAAATATTTTTGAACTTGTAGCAAATATCTATAAGTTTGACTTGTATAGTTACGTGTTGTTGTATAGGGATTATATTATAGATGTCTTACTCGTCAATGGTTATTTAAAAATCCATTGAACCAACCGAATCAATTTTTATTTTTTTTTAATAAAATCATAGGTTTTTATATAAATTTATAATCGTATCAAAAAATTAGGGTGAGTTTTTTATTTTATTTAAAAAACTGAAAAATAACCAAACTGATATATATATATATATAATTAAATTTTTGGTCTTAGGCCTTGGGCCTTGAGCCTACAAGAAGAGAAATTTTCGGGGGAAGTTCACGGTTAGCAACTAATAACACATGTATTTATTTTTAAGTCACTAATTAAAATGTCTTTAGTCTTTAGCCACTGCTTTAATAAACTTTAACTTTCCGGACGAAAATACTCTTCTGCTCATGTCCTTAACTTTTGAACTTAACTTCACGACTACATGTCCTTAACTTTTGAACTTGGAACTCTAAGTTCAGGACTTCAGGACTACGTGTCCTTAACTTTTGAACTTAATTTCAGGACTTCAGGACTACATTTCCTAATTTTTGAACTTGTAACTGTAAGTTCAGGACCCATTGTCTTTAACTTTTGAGCTTGTTAGTCTAAGTTCAGGATTTCAGGACCTATTGTCTTTAACTTTTGAACTTGTAACTGTAAGTTCATGACATATTGTCCTCAACTTTTGGGCTTCTTAGCCTAAGTTCAGGACCTATTGTCCTTAACTTTTGAACTTGTAACTGTAAGTTCATGACCTATTGTCCTTAACTTTTGAGCTTGTTAGGCTAAGTTCAGGACCAAGTGTCCTTAACTTTTGAACTTGGAACTCGAAGTTTAGGACCAAGTATCCTTAACTTTTAAACTTGGAACTCGAAATTCAGGACCAAGTGTCCTTAATTTTTGCTCCGGCTAAGCATTGAAAATGCAGAAACCTCCATTACTTCTTTTGCTTTCATTCTCATCCCTCAAACTTGCTAATTCTGAGTTACTACTACTTGACTTGGAAATATTACAAGTAACCATTTTGTTCCTATAAACTATAGTGTTTTCTATTACTCTGAAAAACACAAGAATTGAGTTCTGTTTCTTTTTAGATCATGAACTGTGAAGAGATAGAAGAAATATGGCAGAAACAAATGAGATCGTTGCAGTCAAGTCTTTCCATTGCAAAAAAGAGCTTAACCCTTGATGATTCTAGGAGAAACTCTGATGCGTCCGTCAATCCAACAGATGAGAAAGAGTCTAGTTGCACAGTTCTTCTCCCGAAAGAGATAGAAGAAAGGGTAACCCAATCTTTTCATATTAATTTTAATAGACTAGTGGCTACTATTGCTAAGCATTGAAAATGCTAGATAAAAAATAAAACCACTTTAAAAAGTGGCTACCCCATACAATTTTTACGAATTTTTCATAAGCACTATCTTTTAGTGGTAATTAGCTATCTATAGATATCATTTGCTATATTACGGATTGTAGATACATTTTCTGTTGTTATAAGATGTACAAGAATTAGGGAAGTCCAGCTAATCAATTGTTGTATTCGAGTGTAGTCGACTATATTCATGGCATGAAACATGGGATTACAGTTGGACAGATTATTATATTCGACTGTATTCACTGCGTGAAACAGGGGGTTACACTGTTTTTAAACGGAAAGTGAATCAATTAACATAATAGACTCCTAATATAACTCAACAAACTCAATTATAGCACGCAAATTTTGTATTTTCAATTATAAAAAAGATTCTCAACCGAAAAATACCCCAAAAACATAGAAATCTTCAGAGAAATTATATAATACATCTGAATACATAAATTATATTAATTAAAAAAATATATTAATATATTCATGGCATATAGCGAGACAATGAATATAATAAAATACATAGAATATAGCGGGATACATTAAAATACAATAAAAAAAGACAGTGAATACAATGAAATACATGGAATACATCGAGATACATTGAATTACAATAAATAAAAAAAAAGACAATGAATACAATGAAATACATGAAAATACAGCGTGATACGTTGAAAATATATTGAAATATATTAAAAGAAAATCAAGTTGCTCAGCCCCAAATTTCGTCGTCTTTGTTCAAGAACAAACCCTAATTTCCGGCGAAATCGAGCAAAAACCCTGAACACTATCTAGACCATCAATGGCGATTTTAGGGTTTGTTTAGGGTTCTTGGTTTGGTCCGATTTGATGTGCACAAAACAAGAACACCTTTGATTTCCAACGATATCTTGCATTATCATTCGATTAAAGTAAGTTTTTACAGCTTTAAGTTACTAAATTGTAGGGTTGGGGAATATTTGGTAACTAACAAGTTTATGTCTGTTGCATGTGATGTTTTTATGTTTTCTGAGCTATTTTTGTAGCTTTCTAGAATTTTTATGTTACTTTTATTTTTGGTGGTCCTTATCGTGTTGGTCCTGCATTTTAAAGCTAGGGTTTTTGTCGATTTGTATTATTAATTGATGGTGGGGTTTCATATCTTTATATTTTTATTGTTTAAGCTTTGAATGATGTGGTCCCATTTTGCCTTTTTTTTATTATTGTTGCATGTGATTTTATCCGAAGGATGGTGGATAAAGTGAGTTCATATTTTAATTATGAGGGTGAGTGGGTATAGGAACCTACGCTGTCTTATACTAAGAAAAATGTGCGCCTGTTGAGTGGTTATGAAGTAGACCATCTCTCTTATATTGATTTGTGTAAAGAATACACTGAAGTGATAGGATTTGTTGAGGTACAACAGTTGATATTTCTTGACCCATCGGGGAGGTATTTTTTGTTAGATGGGGATGAAGGGATTTGGAAGATTCAAACCCTAATTAATGATAATTTCACTGATGTACAACTATTTGGTGTTGACCTTTTGGATGATACTCTAAATGTTCCTGTATTTACCCAGTTTACAGCAGCAACAGATAGTGTACCTGTTGTTGTAACTTCTGACTGTGATTGTAGTGAAGATGATACAGATATTGAAAGTGTTTATAGTGATTATTATAGTGATGCCCTAGGTTTATTTGAGAGGAGAAGAAGTGTGAGGTAACTGACCAACTTGATAGGTATAAAACATTGGAAAAAGGTATGACTTTCAAAGATCTTGCTAAAGCTAAGGAGGTTATTGGTTATTATGTTGTTTCTAATAAGAGGGGCCTTCAGGTAGATAAGAGTGATAGGAGAAGACTTAGATACAAGTGTCAGGTTGGGTGTCCCTTTAAATGTCTTATTTATAAGGATGGCAAAGATCAAGGAGTAAAGATAAAAACTTGTAGGGATGAACATGAATGTGGTAAAGTCTTTGAGAATAGAAGAGCTACTCCTGCTGCTTTAGCACATAATTTTAAGAGAAAGATTCAAAATAATCCTAAGTTTAAGGTTAAAGAGATGAAGGTTGATTTAGAGGATAGATTTAGTTTGAATGTGAGTGACTCAAAGTTAAAAAGGGTGAAGAGAATGGTTTTAGAGAAATTAGAGGGCAGTTACTTAGATGAATACAACAAATTGGAGGCATATGCTCACGAATTGGGAGAAACCAACCCTGGTACTGATGTGGTGATACAGATATCCAAAGATGCAATGGTGGAAGGTAAGAGAGGATTTTTGAGGATGTATGTCTGTTTCCAGGCCCTCAAGAGTGGATTCAAAGCAGGTTTGAGACCTTTTATATGTCTAGATGGAACCTTTTTAAAAGGCAAATGCAAAGGGATGTTGTTAGTTGCTGTTGCTCAAGATTCTTGCAAACATGTGTATCCACTCGCTTGGGCTGTAGTGGATAAGAAAACAAAGAGAACATGACAGTGGTTCATGGAGAACTTGAAGGCTTCTTTGGACTTGAAAGATAGTGAAGGGTATACATTCATGTCAGATATGCAGAAGGTATGTTACCATATGCTCAGAATTTTTACATTCAGCAGATTATTTATTTATGTTGTTAATGTAATGTTTCTTCATGTGCAGGGTCTATTAGATGCTGTAAGGAATGTATGTCTACAATCATATCACAGATATTGTGCAAGGCATATTGAAGCAAATTGGAGCAAAAGTGGAATACTGATGAGATGAAAAGTTAATGTGGTGGTATTCTTGGAGCACATATGAGGAATAATTTAAGAATATGTTGAAACAATTAGGTGAAGTGTCTGAGGATGCTGTCAGGGACTTGCTGAAATATCCTCCAGTAACCTGGTGTAGAGATTACTTTGATACCCAATGTAAGAACCCAATGGTGGACAACAACTTTACAGAGTCTTTCAACTCTTATATTCTTGAAGCTAGACATAAGCCAATTGTGAAGATGCTTGAGGATATAAGAGTGAATGTGAAGTCTACTGTTAATCTGTTGTTAGTTACTGATGACTAACTGACTAAATATTTGTTTACTATGTTATTAATTGACTAATGTTGATTAACTGCTTGTTTACTGGTTGCTAATTGAAGGTGATGAATCAACTAAATGATAGAGCAGAAGAAGTTAACAGTTGGAGAGGTGAATACAACCCATATGCAATGGAGTTATACAATGATTATAGAGAGATGGCTTCAAAGTGCCAGGAAAATTTCAATGGAGAAAGAGGTTTTGAAATAAGTGAAGGTGAAGATAGGTACACAGTGATTCTAGAGCAACAAAGGTGCACATGTAGACTTTGGGACTTGTTTGGAATCCCTTATGCTCATGTTATCAGTGCATTCAACTATAAGAAATAAGACCCAACACTTGGGATTCACTGGTGGTATTCAAAATAAGCCTGGCAGTTGGTGTATCAGCAGCACAAACTGTAGCCTATTAGAGGTGAAAGATTCTGGAAAGTTTAGCCACACCGAGCCATGGAACCACCACCATTAGCAAAGATGGTTGGTATACCTAAAGTCAAAAGGTCAAGAGAGAAGGATGAAGCTAGGAAAAGGCAAGGACAATGGTCAATATCTAGGAAGGGTCTTCAAATGACTTGTGATTTTTGTGGCAAGCCAAGCCATAATAAAAGAAGTTGTCCATTAGTCAATAAGGTATACTTTCAATCTATTGTTTATACTTTCAAACTATTGTTTATACTTACAATCTATTTTTTTACTCACAATATATTTGATTATAATTACAGTAAAAAAAAGTGCAAGACCACACTCAGACAAATGAAGACTAAGAATCAGAATTTTTTATGGTCCCTAATCCAAGTTTTAAAGCACAAGACCAAGAAATGCCAAGTCAGGCTAGCCAACCAAGTCAGTTGTCCAGTCAACAATCTAGTTAGAACACTCATATGCCAAGTCAGCAATCCTGTCAATACACTCAGCAACCAAGTCAGCAATCCTGTCAATACACTCAGCAACCAAGTCAGCAATCCAGTCATGACGCTCAGCAGCCAAGTCAACAATCCAGTCTCTACACTCAGATGCCAAGTCAGCACTCCAGTCATGACACCCAGGCAACTCAGATGCCAAGTCAAAATATTCAGACTAGAAGAAGGTTTATTCAAGCAGATTTTGGTGCAGAAGCTGAACCACTTTTGAGGCCTAAGGTTGTGTCTGATATTAAGAGTAGACTTCAGCGTAGAAATCAATAAAATTCTGGGACTAGGAAGATACCATTCACAGGTGATCACACTGGTATCTCACAACCAACAAAACTGCCATACTCCCCAAAGAGAGCTACTTGAAAGGGGAATGAGGCAATGACAACAACTCAACTGTTGGGTGTGAAAGAGAAAACGATTGGCAAACTTAAAGCTAGAAGAGGCAAGGGTAGGGGCAAGAGGGAGTAGTGTAGCAACAAATGATGAATGTAATATACATTAAAACCCTTTTTTTTGCATGATGTTTGAGTACATGATGTTTGTTTATGTTCTAGATTTTTAGACAAGTAAATTTTGTGACAGTGGTACAGGTTTTTGGATCACACATTAACTTGTCTAATAGCAATATTTTGTTGCGCTTAAATCTTGAAACAATGTATATTTGCTACTCGATTAATGACAATGTTCTTCTCGTCTATCTTGTCTATCTATAAGAGATATTTCTATTTGTTATTGTGATTGTCTGTGTATACAAAATGTTGTATGAGAGTGAAGAGAATGGTAACAAAATTCATTTCATACCAACAGAGAACCATTACAAATGCAGGATTACAAAATCTGAACCTAATACATATACATCTGCAAACTTCATATTTCATTTTTGTAGTTTAACTTCAAACTTCATCTGAACCTAATACATAAACTTCAAACAACTGCAATATAACATAACTACACTACATCATCTTGAAAACTAGCACCAACACAAAGGCAACCCAAGAAAACACAATAAACAACTTCATATTGTGAAGTTTATCCTTCATCCTAGCGACCTTCTCTAATTTTGCTAAATTAGTTCTCTCCACCTCTTCCATTATTTTCTCCATTTTCAGTCTTTCAGCAAAAACAACATCTTCCAAGTTAGCCACCATTTTCTTCAGATAATTTCTTTCAACTTTCACTGACTTCAGTGAAGTATTCAAATTATGGATTAGCACCGTCACATATGGTGGCATCTCTTCATCCCGCCATTCCCCCAAACTACATGAAGCTTCCTCTTCAAAACGAGGGCATTTGTAGAATCGACGACCACCGTTCAATTGAGTCTTAGCCACAAAATGATTTGCAATTAAACCACAACCACAACGACGCGACAAACCAGAAGAGACAAAATTTTTAGATATTTGCTTTTTTTGTTATTCAATAAAGACGGAACTTTTACAGCCAACCACAAGATTCGAAGGAAAAAGACAAGATTTGATTAGTTGTAAAAGAGAAATTTTGGGGAAGAAGAATCAGATAACCAACCTGATGACCTAGGTTCTAAATTGGGGAAGAAGACAAGTAACAAATATGGGTATAGGGTTAAAAGAGTGGGTATAAGGTAAAAAGAATGGATCAGATCGATTTAATGGGTCGAAAAATACCCCAATATAATGCCAACCCCACTGACCCACGTGGACAAATGAAATGATGCCACATCATTTAATGAGATGCCCACATGGATTTCCGTTAGTCGCGGGGGTAAATTTGAAAATAGAAATAACGTCCTATATATTTTCAGACGGATAGATGGACGGGGGANATACGATAGGGGTACTTTAAGCCCTTTTCCGCTTTTAAAACCTATTTTTCCTACTAAGACTATTCGATTGGAACCAAACTTGTGAGTTTTGCCGGCATCCTTAACTTAGCAGCAAATCACAAAGCACAAGGTTTGATTTCTCTCCTCTTGTATGCCTACTAGTTTCTTTTATTCAACTATGCATATTGCATGGTATATAAAATAAATTTTGCAAAAACAACTCAAATTGGCAATATCGAATTTAAATAAGTACTTCTGTTAGCTATTACACGCAACGTTGCTACTAGAATATTATGCTTTCATATGCTACCATCATTGATTTGTTAGTCTTATTTTCTCGAAAATTTTATCACTTAAAGACTTAAGAATATAGAATATTTACGTGTACAAAAACGCAATAACTAGTAGTAAATATCTTACATTGTCCTTTATATTTTATTATAAAGCACTATTTTATTTATATTTTTTATAAAGATTTTACTAGAGCAATATTGCTATTACTGTTTAAAGACATATATATTTTGAACATGATAATCTTACTTTTTGGAATCTTAATTCTTTCTTTTGGTTACTAATAACTTAGTTTTGATTCTGTATAATTGGTTGAATTTATGGAGCAATCTCCTCTACAGAATATCTCTGATCGTGGCAATGCAAAAAATAGTAAAACAAGTTCTAAAGCAGGTATTCCTCCCCGACCACCTCAAAAAGGAGAAAAGACCAATCAAAAAGTCCCTCAAAAGAAAAATAGTGATCATGGGTCAGAAGCTTGGCATCATTTTACTAGAATTGAAGGAAGTGAACTAGTTAAGCCTGCATGTAATTATTATAAAAAAGAAATTGCCGCTTCAGGGCGAAATGGAACTTTAGGCATGTGGAACCATCTAGATAGGTGTAAATTATATCCTTACATAAGAGAAAAAAAAACAAAAATCTATAACTGATTTTACCATCAAAGGCGAGGAAGGTGATAAAACAGAAGTTAGTAAACTAAGGCCTCTTAATGTAGAGGAAATTAGAAATGCCCTTGCTGCCATGGTTATTATTGATGAATTGCCATTTAAGATTGTAGAAGGGAAGGGTTTTAAGAGATATAGTAGAGTACTTGAACCTAGATTTATAATCCCTTCAAGTAATACATTTGTAAAAGATTGTCTCGAGCTTTATATGAAAGAGAAATTTATTTTGAAAACAATAATTAAAAATCATTGTGTGTGCCTTACCACAGATACTTGGACATCAATTCAAAATCTTAATTACATGTGTCTCACAGCACATTAGATTCATGATGATTGGTTGTATCAAAAGAGAATTTTAAACTTTCAGCTTATTGAGAACCATGCAGGAAGGATTATTGCTAGCTCTATTGAGGAATGTTTAATTAATTGGGGAATTGAAAGTGTTCTTACAGTAACAGAAGACAATGCAAGTTCTAATGATACATGTCTTGATTATTTGATGAAGTGTGTTAAGTGGAAAGATTCAATTTTAGACAACAAATACATGCATGTCAGATGTGCTGCTCACATTGTTAATTTAATTGTAAAAGAAGGTTTAGCAGAGCAAGATAATGCCATTATTAGAATTCGAAATGCAATAAGGTATGTGCGATTCTCTCCTGCCAAATATAGCTTGTTCAAAAGATGTGTTGAGAAAGAGAAGATTTTATGGAATCATCTTGTTTGTCTTGATGTTGCTACTAGATG